CTTTTTGTTACCTTTTTTTTTAAGTCTATTAACCCATTAGTATAACTGTTTGCATTAAACAGATAGTAATATGATCTCAAACCCATCCTACTGAGAGCAAAATATTTTAAAAAGAAAGAAAAAGATACTCTATATTTTCTTGCTTCCCTCTCCCACTCTTAATGATTTTGATGTCTTCTTTCACCATTTCGTGTTTATTCTATTTGTAATTCATGGTAATTATCTCCTTTCCATTTATGAGTTTCTCATTTTTGTAGCATATTGCTTCTGTTCTGTTTGTTATAGACTTTTCAATATTTCTTTTCACATGGTTTTAGTGTTGCTAAAGTCTTCTAGTTTTTGATGGTCTGTGAATTTATCTCTCCTTCTATTCTAAAGGATAGTCTTAGTGGATAGAGTATCCTAGGCTGCATCTTCTTTTCATTCAGGACTTTGGATATATCTTCCCACTCCCCTCCTGCCTGTAGTGTCTGTGTAGAAAAATCAGCTGAGGCCCTTATGGGGGTTCCCTTGTAACCCACTCTTTGTTTTTCTTGATTATGTCATGTATTGCTTTGGGTCTGTTTGGGTTCTTCCTGTTTGGGACCCTCTGTGTTTCTTGTACTTGGAAATCTGATTCCTTCTTTACATTTGGGAAGTTTTCAGTCATGATTTCTTCAAATACCTCTTCAATCTCCTTTGTTCTTTCTTCCCCTTCTCGAACCCCTATTATGCATAGATTGCCATGCTTTATAGTATCTCATAGGTCCTTTTCATTGTTTTCATTGGTTTTTATTTATTTTTCTCTTAGATGTTCTGTTTGGGTGCTTTCTGTTGTCCTGACTTGTATGTCACTTATTCGTTCCTCTGCATTATCTAGTCTGCTTTGTATAGCCTTTAGATCAGCTCTCATCTCAGCAAATGAGTTTACCAATTCTAGTTGTTTCTTCTTTATAGCTTTCATTTTATTTTTGACATATTTTATATCACTAAACACTATTTCTTTTAGTTCCTTCAGTACTTTGATCACTCCTTTTTTGAAATCTTGATCTAGTAAGCCATCAATGTCTATTTCCTTGATCGTTCTTTCAGGGGATTTCACTTGCTCTTTTAATTGGGAGTGGTTCCTCTGCTTCTTCATCTTGCTCATATCTGTGAGGCACTGTGGCTTATGGAGTATCAGTTACCTATTGTGGTTCTTAAGGAGTTTATTTATTTATCTAACACCTCTGAAGGAATAAAACTTTAAAAAAGAGAGAGAGAATTTTTTAAAAAGAGAGAAAAAAGATTTGAAACAATGTATCATCTGTAATTGAAGACCAAGTTGAATCAGAGTAGCAGTTGAGTTGAGACATCTTTTTAAACCTTAAACAAAGGAGAAAAGAGCAAAAAACAATATTTGAAGCCTGTGTATAATCAATAACAGAAGATCAAAACCAAGAGAAATCAAAATAAAATGAGATGGATTTTCCAAAATAATAATAAAACATTTTAAAAAATTTAAAAGGGATCAAAGCTGGTAGCATATACAATTGTTTAAAAATTAAAAAGATAATAGAAAATAGAACAGATCAAAAAAGATAAAATAAAAATAATTTTAAAAGAATGGAGAAAAAAAGGTTTGAAAACTCTGTATAATCAATAATAGAAGAGCAATTTGAAGCAGCATAGCAATCCAGTTGAGACATCTTTTAAAAAACCTTAATAAAAATAGAAAAGAGCAAAAACAAATTTGAAACCTCTGTATAATCAATAACAGGAGATCAACACCAAGAGAAATCAAAATAAATTGAGGTGGATTTTAAAAAATAATAATAATAAAATGTTTTAACAATTTAAAAGGGATCAAAACTGGTAGCATATATAATTGTTCAAAAAGTAAAAATTAAAAAGTTAATAGAAATAGAACAGATTAAAAAAATAAAATAAAAAGAGAATTTTAAGAGAAAGTAGAATAAAGATTTGGAAACAGTGTATAATCAATAATAGCAGAGTAACTTGAGGCAGATTAACAATCGGGTTGAGACGTCTTTTAAAATCCTTTAAAAAAGTATAAAAGAAAAAATTGTGCTCTACACTGGAACTTGACACAGCATTATAAAATGAATATAACTCAATAAAAATGTTAAAAAAATAAAAACCTTACAAAAAGGAGAAATGAACAAAAAAATTATTTGAAACTTGTGTATAATCAATACAGGAGATCAAAACCAAGAGAAATAAAAATGAAATGAGGTGGATTTTTAATAATAATGATAAAAATATTTTAAGAGAAAAATTTTAAAGGGATTAAAACTGGAATCATATACAACTGTTTAAAAACTAAAACTTAAAAAGGTAATAGAAAACAGAACATATAGAAAAAGATTTAAAATAAAAAAGTGGTGGTGTTCTCGTGGATACTGTGCGCTCTTAACGATTTTATTGAGAAGTCTTTCTGTCTTCACTGTTTCATGAACAAACCTTGCTGCTTCCAGAGGCCCTTCATTGGTGCCCTTGTTTGTGCTGCTCCCCGTGCCTGCCGGCAAGCAGATTGTGCCCCCTCCCAACAGTGGGTCAGGTGCTGAGCTCTTACCTGGTGGGCGGGTGGTACACTCCACCTCCTGATGCCGCAGTCAGTTGCTGTGCTTGGGTGAGGTAGGCGAGTGGATCATGCTCCCTCCCAGCACCTAGGTCAGGTGCTTCCCTCCTGCCAGGAAGGTGGTCGCTCCACTGCTCTGTGCAGCTGCCTGCTCCACCTCAGATCTGTGGTCTGTAGGCGGGCTCAGGGAAGATGGTGAAGCAGCCCTGCCCCTACTCCGTGCCCAATCTCAGCTCCTTGTTTGTCTTGGTGGCGCGAGTTCTCTGAAGTACCAAGGCAGAATGATCCTTTCTGCTTCAGGCTGTAAACAAGTCTCCATCTGGCCTTTTAGGCTGCTAAGTCCTTAAGTGCAGATTCAGGTCTCCACCCCACCCTTGTCTGGGTGCTAAGCACTGGAGGATATGGTGGCTGTGCCTGAGCCCTGCCTGTCTTTGCCCGAAATCCTTCTGCGGATTTTCAGATATGGGGGTATGGCACCCTGGGCACATCAGCCGTATTGTTTTATGGAGGGCCCAGGTGGTTCTGCCCTATGTACCCACTAATCCATGCCACACAGCACCCTGCAGTCCCCCGGGTCTGCCTCAGTGCAGCTGCCCCAGTCCTCCACCCGGCTTGGGCAGCCTGTTCCATCCCACACCTGTCACTTTGCCTCTAGGGCTGGGGGTTGTGGAGACCTTATATGCCCAATTAAGTTAGTTCTGTCAGTCAAGGGGTACTTTGTACAGATCCGAGCCTCAGAGGTTCCCCCTCTGTCCCGCTGATCTTGCTATTGGAGAAGGGGAGACCCAGCAAACGAGCGCTATTCCTCCTTTGCTGCTCACCTCCCCACAGGACCTGTCCTGCATTGTTTTGCTTTTTCTTCTTTCTTTTTTCCTTTTCTCCTACCAGATTCATGGTGTCTTTGTCTTTTGAAGAGGGTGAGTTCTGTCGCAGTTCAACAGGTGCTCTGGTTGGTTGGGTGGGTCCATGGATGTGAGTTTTTGGTGTATTTGTGGGAGAGAGTGAGCTTCAAGCATCCTTCTACTCCACCATTTTGGCCCATCCCATGTCTTATTCTTTTGATGGAACATTTTACATCTTTTAATTTTATGTATTTTTTAACTGATTATTGTAATTTTAGTTTACTTTGCTACCTTTGTCTTTCAGCCTTCATGCTTCCTTTATAAGTGATTGATCTACTACCTTTATTAAAGGCATACCTCAGAGATACTGTGGGTTCAGTTCCAGTCGACCACAATAAAGCAAATATTGCAAAAAGAGAGCCAAGTTTTTACTTTCCACGTGCATATAAATGTTATGTTTACACTATTGTCTACTACATGTGCAATTTCTAAAATATTTTTAAAATCTACAAACCTTAATTTAAAATAGATTATTGCTAAAAAATGCTAACAATCATCTGAGTCTGAGTCTTCAGCGAGTCATCAAAGATCACTGATCCATAAAGATAACAATAATGAACAAGTTTGAAATATTATGAGAATTAGCAAAATGTGACGCAGGGTCATGAAGTAAGCAAATACGTTGGAAAAATGGCCCTGATAGAATTTCTCAATACAAGGTTGCCACAAACCTTTAATTTTAAAGAAATTCAGTATGTGTAAGGCACAGTGAAGCAAAGCAGAATAAAATTATATATGCCTGTATATATGTTTTCCAGTGGGATTTTTACATTAATATGTTTCCTTATTATTAATTAATGTCAGTTGTTTTTAGCTTGTAGAAGTTTGTTTAACAGTTCTTTCAGTGTCAGTTTAGTGTTTGTGAACTTCTTTAGCATTTGCTTATCTGTGAAATTCTTAACCTCTCTTTAAATTCTGAATAATCTTTATGGGTAATGAATTCTTTGTTGGAAGTATTTTTTTTCAGCATTTTGAATATGTCAGGCCACTCCTTTCTGGATTATAGTGTTTGTGCTGAAAATGTACTGTCAGCCTTTTGGGGTTTCTCCTGTGTGCCACAAGTTGTTTTATGATTTTTCTCTTTATCCCTGCTGCTTTTAGGATTCTCTCTTTATCCTTAATTTTTATTATTTTAATTACAATGTGTGTTGGCTTTTGTCTCTTTGGGTTCATCTCATTTGGAACTCACTGCACTTCCTTGATCTGAAAATATATCTCCTTTCCCAGATTAGGGAAATTTTCAGCACTATTTCTTCAAATAAATTTTCAGAGCCTTTCATCGTATCTTCATCTGGGACTCCTATAATGTGAATGTTATTCTGCTAGATGTTGTTCCAAAGGTCCCTTAAGGTGGCTTCACCTTTTAAAATTCATCTTTTTGTTTTGCTTTTCTGCCTGTGTAAGTTCCATTGCTTCATCTTCTAGTTCATTGATTTGTTCTTTTAACTCATCCAGTGTTATGTTGAATCATTCTAGTGTATTTTTCATTTCAGTTGTTTTATTCTTCAGATCTGATTGTTTTTAATATTTTGTATCTGTTTGTTGAAGTTCTCACTGTATTCCTCTATTCTTCAAGTTTGGTGAGCATGTTTATAAACAGTAATTTTAAATTTTTTCTGGAAGATTACTTGTCCCCATTTCATTTAGTTCCTTTTTTGAAGTTTTGTCTTATTCTTTCAATTGGAACATATTTTTTTCCCCTCATCATTTTGCCTAATTCTCTGTTTCTTTGTATTTTTTAGATAAAGCAGCTACTTCTCTCAATCTCAAAAGAGTGACCTTATGTAGGAAATATATTGTGGGGCTCATAAGCACAATTTTGCCTGGCTTCCAAAGCCAGAAACTCAGTGAGTATTGACTATGTGGGTTGCATGGACCTTCTTGTTGTGGCAGGTCCATGGCTGCTACTGTACTAAGCTGGTAGGCAGGGTTGGCCCCTGGAACAGCTGTAGGGCTTGGCCAGGTGACTGCCACTTGCTGGTGGGTGGAGTTAGTGCTCCATTGTATGTGAGAACCAGACACTACACAGGGATATGTTGGACTCTCAGTGGGGCTCACCCACTGGCACTAACAAGTTAGATGAGTATTTGCAAAGTGGTTCGTGCCAGTGCCAGTATTAGCAAGGTAATCTGAAGTTGCAAAAATTGGTGCTGCTAGTGTGTCTGTCTCAGGTGATTGTCCCAAATGGCCCTGTCTTAACGGCAAATGCTTTAAGATTAGTAAGTGGGTCCCTTTCACCTATAATTCATTTACTTTTCAATATGGTGTTTGTACTGGTCTGGGGACTAAGTAAGTCTGTGTACGAGTACTTTAATATTAGGTTTTCCATTCTCTGTAGCTCTATAATTTTCCTGGACATATTTTTCACTGGTTTTCAAAGCGAAATGCTCTGGAGGTTTGTCTCTCCTTGGCAGGATCTAATGGTTGGGATGCCTGATGTGAACTCAAATCATTTACGCCTCAGGGAAATTAACCATGCCTTTGTGATCTTTCCTAATTGTGGATCACCACAGCTGAGGCATGTTTTTCTCCTTGATTTGGTTGAATCTCTGTTTCTACTACTCATTTCATTGCTGTCCTTTTATCTGTTGATGTGGCAACTCTGTTCATCCACTTTCAGGTTTCTTTCAGAGGGAATCATTTCATAGGTAGTTGTAGATTTGTTGTGTCCATGGGAGGAGATGTATTCAGGATCTTCCTATATTAATATCTTGAAACTTCTCTCTAATTTATTTAATGTTGTTGATCACCACCATCATTATCTTTATTATTCATGTGTCAGCTCATTTTCCAATTTTTTTGTGATTTTTAACTCAGAATTACAGAAAAAAGTGCCAGATTTTATCACATGTTTTAGAACATAGCCTCAGTTATTCTCAATGTTTATGCTACTGATTTTTAATAATTTCTAATTATACCATACCTGTTTATTGTCCTTTATCTTATGAAGGTTGTATTGATTTTTAGTCACTTTCATCTAGTTCTGACTTACAAATGATAATTAAGAATTTATAACTGAAGGTACTCAGTAATGATCACATTCAAGGGCATAATTAGTTCTGATTTTAGCTTTCATCTGCTTTTAATATTGGTCAATGCTCTTAGAGTTCTTATATTGTTTATAAGGTGGTCATAATATAGTTTCTTCCAAATAAGTGTTCAGAAACACTGAGTTAATCCCATTAACTTCCAGTTTACCAGCAAACTCTCAGGAATCAGTATCTTGGGCCCATCAAGCCTTCATTCATCCCAGGAATATTGCAAATTCAATTTATATGGACTGATCAGAACTTAGTTAATGGGTTAACAAGTGTAAGTACATTTTGGTGTTCTGGTCCCTAAATGTATTCACTACAGTAGAAGATCCCAGGTATAAGAGAGTGGCCAAGATGGCAGAGTAGAAGGACACTCTTAGCTCATCTTCTCCCATGAATACAGCAAGAGAGATATCCATGGAGCCACCAATTCACTGAGAATAACTGCTTAACTTTGACAGAACATCACATTATTCAAAAGAGAAAATTCATCACAAATCTGATAGGTGAAAAAAAGAAGAAGAAAAAGGAAATTAGTGCGGGAATGGTCCCACAGGAAGGGAACGTCAAAGGATGAATAATGCCCTTATGCTGGGACTCCCCCCCCTCCAACGGAGAGATCAGCAGGGATGGAGGGGGAACCTCCAAGGCTTGGATCTGTACAGAGCAGCCCTTGACCCACAGAACTAACTGAAATGGGCATGAAGGATCCCTGCAGCCCCCAGCCCTAGATGCAAACCAGTTGTGGTGAGATGGGACAGGCTGAGCCAGATGGGGGACTGGTACTGACTGTACAGAGAAAACCTCAGAGGGCTAGATTGTACTGTGTGCTGTGTCTGGGAATGTATACAGAACACAACAGCCTGGGTACCCCATAAAATAAAAGAAGGAAGGAAGGAAGGAAGAAGAAGGAAGGAAGGAAGGAAGGAAAGAAAGAAAGAAAGAAAGAAAGAAAGAAAGAAAGAAAGAAAGAAAGAAAGAAAGAAAGAAAGAAAGGAAGAAAGGAAGAAAAAGACTGTTGGTGCATGCTGGGGCAGGGACATCTTAGCCTTTGTCTCTGCAGACCCATGGCTGGCACCATTGCTGGCACATCCTCCAGAGAAGAAAGGCAGGGCTAAGCCAGAGCCACCGTATTTACTCGTGCAGGGCTCCCAGGCAGAGGTGGGGTTTAAACCGGAATCCATACCCAGGGGCTGAACAACTTCATAGGTGGGACTGAGATTTGTTTACAGCCCTAGGCAGAGGGGATCAATCTGCTCCACAGGTGTCCTTATGTACCCTCACCTCTAAGACAAAGGAGCAAAGAGTAGAGTTCTGACACAGCAGGGGTGGGGGCTAATGCTGCTGTTTCCTACAAACCTGCCTACCATGTGCAGATGTGGCACTGGGAGGGGCACTGACCCAGTGGGGTGACCTGCAGGCCTATGGAAGGAATGAGCAAAGTTTGCACATTGGATCAAGTGCAACAGTGGCATTTGGCCCCAGGAAAGGTGCTAATCCAATAGTGTGCCATGATCCAGGTGTGCATCCCAGAAATCAGCATAACTGCACTAGTAGCTCTGAGGGCAGATAACCTGGGAGAAGCCAGAGCAGCACACTGACATTCCCAGAGATAAAGTGGGGACAAGGGCAGAGTAAACAAAGAGTACTTAAAGCAATCCAACCCCACCTACTAGGCAACTCAGCTCAGAAACAGGTCTGGAAACATCCATGGCAACAAAAAGGGAATAGATCTGGCCCCTATCAGGGCTTTGATATCCACAGAACAGAAAGGAGGCCCCACTCAATAGTCAAGGCTGGCTCTGGTCACAACAACAGCCAGATCCCCAGTAAATGGATAACAGCCAGCACATATGGAAGAAAGATATGGAAACCATCCATACTTAAAGCAAACCTTAGGACAAAATTATTAGGGGTGCACAGTCTATGAAGGAACACATTCTCTTTGTTTTATTTTTTAATTTAAATTTTTATTTATTTATTTTTTTGTTTTCTTAATTTTATTTTTTAATTTTTAAAAATTTTTATTCATTTTTTTGTTTTTAATTTTTAATTTTATTTTGTTTTTAATTTTTCCTCCTTTTTAGATATTTAAAGCTTTTTTGTTTTTTGTTGTTGTTTTGATTTGTATTTTGTTTTTTATTTTTTGTTTTATTTCCACATCCTCATTTAAAAAAATTTCCTTCAAGACCAAGTAGATAACTGACACTCCATAATCCAAATTTCCAGAGAGTTACAAGTAAAATGAAGAAGCAGAGGAACTACTCCCAAATAAAAGAGCAAGAAAAATCACCTGAAAGAACGATCAGTGAAAGATATCGATAGTCTACTATATCATGATTTCAAAAAGAGAGTGATCAAAGCACTTATGAAATGAAAAGAGACTGAATAGAGAAAGAGAATACTTTAAAAAGGAAATTGAAACTATAAAGAGAAGCCAGTTATATACAGAAAAGTCAATGGCAGAGATAAAAGCTGAGCTAAAGGCTGTCAAAAGGAAATTAGACAATGCAGATAAACAAATAAGTGACTTAGAAGACAGGATAGTTGAAGTCTCCCAATCAGAACAGCAGAGAGAAAAGCAAATAAAAACCATTGAAAGCAATATAAGGGACATATGGGATCATATGAAGCATGCCAAGCTAAGCATAATAAGGGTTTCAGAAGGAGAAGAAAGAGAAAAGGGGATTGAAAATGTATTTGAAGAAATGATGAATGAAAATTTCCCAAACCTAATGAAAGAATCAGATATCGAAGTACAGGAAGCACAGAGGATCCCCAACAAGAAGAAACCAAATAGGCCTACACAAAGACATATTATAATCAAGATGGCCAAGGTTAAAAATAAAGAGTTAGTTACAAAGCAACCCCCATAAGGCTTTCAGCTGATTTCTCTACACAGACACTGCAGGCCAGAAGGTAGTGGGAAGATATATTCAAAGTTCTGAGTGAGAAAATCTGCAACCTAGGATGATCTATTCAGCAAGGCTATCCTGTATAATAGAAGGAGAGGTAAAGAACTTCACACACAAGTAAAAACTAATATAATTCAGCATACTAAGCCTATGCTAAAAGAAATATTGAAAAGTCTACTCTAAATAGAAAAGAAGCAGGATGCTATAAAAAGGAGAAAACCATAATTGGAAAGGTGATAACTACAATGAGTTGCAAGAGAATAAACATGAAGATGTAAAAGGGGACATAAAAATATTTAAGGTGGGAGAGGAGAGCAAGAAAATATAAATCCCCCCTCCCTTTTTTTTGTTCTTTTTAGGATGTGTTTGAGCTTATATGACTATCAGGTTAAAGCAAACAGATTTAGTAATGGATTAATACACTTGAAAATTAGGGTAACCACAAACCAAAAGCATACAATAGAGTCAAAAAATCAAAAAGAAGCCAAGCTAATACAAAAGACAGTAAACCACAGAAAGAAAAAGGAACAAAGAGGAAACCTCAAATCAACTGGAATAACTAAGTTCAAAATGGCAACAAACACACATCTATCAATAATTACAGTAAATATCAATGGACCAAAGAGTGGCAGATTGGATAATAATACAAGAACCTACAATATGCTGCCTACAAGAGACCCACTTTATGGAGAAGGACACACATAGATCAAAAATGAGAGGATAGAAAGAGATATTTCATGCAAATGGAAACTACAAGAAAGCAGGAGTAGCAATACTTATTTCAAACAAAATAGACTTTAAAACAAAGGCCATAAAGAAAGATAAAGAAGCACACTATATAATGATTAAAGGAGGAAAATAAGATGAGGATATTTCACATGTTAGCGTAAATGCAACTAATATAGGAACACCGAAATACATAAAGCAAATACTAATAGATACAAAGGGAGAAATTGATGGGAACACAATCATAGTAGGAGACTCTAACACCTCATTAACAATACTGGACAGATCTTCCAGACAGATAATCAATAAGGCAATTGACAAACTAAATGACACAATCAAACAGCTGGACTTGGTTGATATTTTTAGGACATTACACCCCTCAAAAATAGAATATACATTCTTTTCAAATGTACATGGAACATTCTAAGCATAGATAATGGACTTAGGCATAAAAGAAGCCTCAAAAAATTTAAGAAGATAGAAACTATTTAAAGCAACTTTCCTGACCACAATGCCATGAAACTAGAAGTCAACCACAGAAAAACAAAGAAAAAAATGATAGCATGGAGATTAAACAAAATGCTACTAGAAAACCAAAGGGGCAATGATGAAATTAAAGAAGAAATTAAAATATACTCTGAGACAAATGACAATGAAAGTAGAACAACTCAAAATCTATAGGATGCAGCAAAAGCAGCCCTAAGAGGGAAGTTCATAGTGATACAGGCCTTCCTCATAACAGAAGAACAATTTCAAATAAAAAACCGAACCTACTACCTAAAATAATTTTAAAAAGAAGAGTTAACAAAACCAAAAGTCAGCAATGGAAGGAAATAATAAAGACCATGTAGGACATAATTAAAGTAGAGATTAAAAAACAATGGAAAATATCAATCAAACCAAGAGATGATTTTTTGAAAGAGTAAGCAAAATTGACAAACTTCTGGCCAAGAAGAAAAGGGAAAAAATGCAAATAAATGGAATAAAAAAGGAAAATGGAAAATTTACAATTGATAACACAGAAATACAAAATAGCAGAAGAGAATACTATGAACATATATATGGAAACAAATTAGACAACCTAGAAGAAATAGACAAGTTTGTGGAAACATACAGTCCACCAAGACTGAATCAAGAAGAAAGAGATGACTTGAACAGACCAATCACTACAAATGAAATAGAATTAGCAATAAAAAACAAAAGTCCAGGACCAGATGGCTTCACTGGGGAATTCTACCAAACATACAAAGAAGAATCCATATTGGTCCTTCTCAAACTCTTTCAAAAAATTGAGAAGAAGGGAGTACTCCCAAACTCATTCTATGAAGCCACCATCACCCTGATACCAAAACCAAAGACACTACCAAAAAGAAAATTACAGGCCATTATCACTGAGGAACATGGATGCAAAAATCCTCAACAAAATTTTAGCAAACAGAATCCTACAGCACATAGGAAATAATACACCATAATCAAGTTAGATTCATCCCAGGGACACAAGGATGTTTTCACATATGAAAATCAATCAGTGTGATGCACCACATCCACAAAAGAAAGGACAAAAACCACATGATCATCTCAATAGATGCAGAAAAAGCATTTGAAAAAATTCAACACCCATTTATGATAAAAACTTATCAAAGTGGGTATAGAGGGTACATGTCTCAACTTAATAAAAGCTATTTATGACAAACCTACAGCCAGTGTAATACTCAATGGTGCAAAGTTGAAAGCCACCCTGCTAAAATCTGGAACAAGACAAGGATGCCCACTCTCACCACTTCTATTTAACATTGTCTTGGAAGTCCTAGCCACAGCAATCTGACAAGAAAAGGAAATAAAAGTTATCCAAATTGGAATAGAAGAGGTAAGATTTTCACTATATGCAGATGACATGATATTATATATAGAAAACTTTAAAAGCTCCACACACACACACAAACTACTAGAGCTAATAAAATAATTAAATTGCAAGTTAGTAGGATACAAGATTAACATACAAAAATCATTTGCTTTTCTTTACACTAACAATGAATAAGCATGAAAAAAAGTAAATAAACAAGCCCTTTTAAAATTGCATCCAAAACGGTAAAATTCTTAGGAATAAATCTGGTCAAGGAGGTGAAAAACCTATTCATGGAGAAATATGAAACATTGATTAAGGAAATTAAAAAGACTTAAAGAAATAGAGAGGTACCCCATACTCCTGGATTGGAATAATCAATATTGTTGAAATGCCCATACTGCAAAAGGCAATCTACAGAGTTAATGTGATCCCTATCCCATTACCCAGGCCTTTTTTTTTTTTACAGAACTAGAAGAAACAATGCTAAAATTTATATGGAATCACCCAAAGACCCAGAATTGCCAAAGAAATATTGAAAGAAAAGCATGACGCTGGAGGAATAACCCTCCCACACTTCAGACAATACTACAGAGTTATACTAATCAAAGCAGCATGGTATTG